GAGTTTATAAATATCATGTACTCTTTTCTTCAAACTAGATTTTTTCCATGTGGTTTTCCTAGTGAAGTTTTTAACGAGGCATGAATATATTTAAATATACTATATCTTGTACTCTTTTCTTGTATAGGTTTTTCCCACCGGGTTTTCCTAGCAAGTTTTTAACGAGACAAGATCATGGACAAATAATGTCCAAGGGGGAGTGTTGTAATTAAATATTAATGGTGGCCATTATTTTGTAACAGACATATTAATGTCTCATTATGTATGCCATTATTATTCTATATTATATATGTGTGTAATCCTTTTGTAAGAGGAAGCCATGGAAATGAAATCATATCACTCCCTTCTCTTTGTCTATTACTTCTTATTGTTGATTCAATCCTGAAACTCACCGGTTAGGAGCTATAGGCCAACGAGCACAAGCAACAACATTACAACAGATACCATATTATTTGAATTGAAATTTTATAATTATATATTTGTTTTAATTTTGACATGATTAATTCACATATAATAAAAATAATAATATAATAATTGTAATTATAATTTTTATAATGATAATAAATAAAAAATAATTGTCAATGATTGTGTGGTCTAGTAGCACGAAGTGACTCTCAAATGGGAGGTCATGGATTCGATCTCCAATGAGGACAATATTGACTCTTTGTGCTTGAGTAGGGGAGAGAATAATTTTTAAGATTGAGTGAGATAATAGATAATGAAGTGGATAGGAACCACAAAAAAATAACGAAAAATCTCAACTATTGATGTTGCTCTAAGACCATTATTTAGCGAGCTATTAGAAATATCATACAAGCTTCTTGGAAAATGCTATAGTACACAACTGAAGTGGAGTCAATGCAAAACTTTCTTCTCTGACAAATTCACACGACAGTGGACCATTGAATTGGGAGTAAAAGTAATATAAGGACTGTTAATGTCACTACCGGAAATTATGGAATTTTCGACCACTTAAAAATTATCTTAAATCAAGTCGAAAGTTTTGTTTCAACCATTTTTGGTATCCAGAAAAACCTTTGTTGCTATTTCCAATCACTTTTTACTTTCAACTTGATTTAAGATCACTTTCAGGTGGTTGGAAATTTCATAATTTCCAGTAGTGTGTGCACTCCATACTATAATTTCGACATACTTCTAAACTTGTTCTTCATCACAAATTATACCATAGATCAGGGTTTATGTTGCATTGTAAATATTGGATCGAGAACAAGTCCGTAGGAAAATTAAAAACAAATCACAATCTTACAACTGGAAAATTGAACGCATTAGATTTGATTTTAAAAAAAAAAAAAAACGTGGTGACAGTTTCATAATTATCACCAACGTAACTTTAGTAGGGTCAAAAAGCTTGTCAAAATAACAGCCATAAAATTCTGTCAAAATACAAGTCATAAAATTCAAAGAAAAAGACAGGGCGAGACGACGAATTAGCACGACAAGTTAAGCCAATTTTTACGATTCTACCTATGCCACATGCATAATAATGACCATAATTAATGTAGCATAGTATGTATTAGCATACATTAATATATTGGATAATAAAACTCCCCTACCAAAAAAAAATATATTGGATAATAAAACTGAGATAGAAATGATAGTATAACGTGAACATCATTGTAAACATAACGTCTACTTAGGGCAAGGGAGGGAGAAACATATTGTAGATTCTAACGCATTAAATAATTTGTCTTTAAAAAATTAAAAATAAGTCTAAGTCACTTTCATCAAATTGAGTACAGCACTACGTACCGTTCATAGCACGGTATAATTTGGACACACTTGTCAGCGTTTGCTTTGGGCAAGGGATGAGAGAATGCCTTTCGTAAATGTTAATTCATGGAATACGATGACACAGTGCCCCTAATTTTTGGAGGCCCTATTTAAAAAAAAAAAAAAGAAAAAGAAAATTATAGATAATTCATTATTTTTATATACTTGATAATTATTTTTTAAATTTTTATAAATTAGTCTTAATTATAATTGAAAATAAAAATTTTGAATGAATTGAAATTGAAATTTTAGTGAGTAATTTTGCATTTAAATATACACAAAAAATGAGACTTTTAAATTAAATTTTGAATTACATTGTCTTCTTTGTTGAATTTTCATGCAGTATATTTTGACATAAATTTTTTGTTACATTTTTTTTGTTATAAAATACAATAACTTGAAATTCAAATGAATTAAATTTGGACACAAAATTACCTCAAGATTATATAATTATATTTTTACCTTTAATTTATAAATAGAAATCTCTATATATCATTATAGTGAAATCTGAATGTAAAAATAAAAAAAAATAAAAATAATAAAAAAATAAAAAAAATCTCTCTTCCCCTATGTTTTATCTCTCTATTAAGGTCTAAATTGAATTATTATATAGACCCCTATTTATAATGAAACCGCCCTGTTCAAAGTTAATTTCATAATCCAGACAATCATATTATATTAAACTCTTCTTACATGATTATAAGCCTATTAATCAAAAACCCTAGGTATTGCTTTCTCTCACGGTCGCCTCCTCCGCAAAGCAAGCCGATCGGGAGTGGCGTCCGATCATCTTCTCCTAATGCTATCTTCAATCATCTTCTCCTACTGCTATCTTCACCGCAGACAGTATCTGTCTTCATTATATTCTCTGTCTTCACCGTTTTCTCCTCCATCTCCATCACTACCGGTCATTACTTCCTTATTTTCACACTGTTATTTTCCTTTGCTTTGTTTTACTGGTTTAATTTTGTTTACAGTTTCTGTGTTTTTCCTCTCGTTGTATTGACGAGTTTCTTCCTCTCGTTTACTTGACGAGTTCTTTTTTCATAAAGCGTGAAATGATAAAACTGGTCATGGCGTATATGAATCTCATCCTGGGTGACAAACATGACAATGAAAAAAAGAGACTCCTCTGAACTATGATATGGAGTTCGATGGAGATATTGTCAATGGATATAAAAATAGAAATAGAGACTCAGGTGGTGTGCAAAACTATTCAACTAGTGTCAGTCTTGGGTACCCTTGACCAAATCATTAAAGAAGCTTTAAGTTCATCCAAAGAATTCAGCTTCAAATTTATAAAACAGTCTACGAATCAAGTTTTCTATAGCATTGCTAGGGAAGTTGTTTCCATGTCTGACTATAAGGAATGTTTTGATTATTCCATGAATCTTTATTGTAATCGTTTCAATATATGATTAATGAATTAACTTCTTTATTAAAAAAATAATAATAAAAAATAAAAAATAAAAAATAAAAAAAAAAGTAGTCATGACAACGTATAGACTCAAGTCGAGTATTATGGTCCAACACAATTTTAAATGAAGTCATGAGTAGAGGAGGATTGGTTAATTGATGAGATTACGTGAGGGCATTTTGATTCAAACATTAAAATTAGAATGATAATTAGAATAAAATGCTTAATAATAGTGATAATGTGTTTAAGTATATGAAATCTCTTTATTTAGTACTCCATAATAAATAAGAATTGGAATTAATTAATTAATTAACTAATAAAAATAAAAACAAATAAATATTACTCCATATATATAGGAGAGAGTTCATTGTAAAGAATATATTTCCTGTAAAAAATGTGGACACCTTCCATTTTGAGAAATCAAATGCTATGATCTTATCATTATTAAACTTGTAAGTTTTAAATAATTATAAAATGAATCTTGTTCTTAAAAAATTTCAATAATTATAAATTGACCTTGTATTTTTTAAAAAACCTTCCACAATTGATTAACCCTGAATCTAATAGTAGGAGAGCAAAAGTTGACAAACAAAATGGTAATTTATATCAAATACGATAGTATGGTACAAAAGTCTCTAACCAAACGCCACCCTAGTGTGTAAAGCTAAGTTTTATAACATATATTGGCCCTGTTTGGTAAAAAGTTGGCCAATAGGCCAATTTTGACTTATTTGACCACTATTAATTGTTTGATTTAGTTAAAATATCAATATAAATATTTGGTTAATTAGCTTTTTGCAACTCCAAAAGGTTAAAATTCAAAAAGTTACTCCAAGCAACTTTTTCAATTAGCTTTTTGAGAAAAGAAATTATACCAAACAGCTATCAACTAACAGCTAATTTACCAAACACTTTTCTACAATCAGCTAATGTTATCACCTATTTATACTCTCTAATTAACACAATCAGCTAACAACTAACCGCTATCAGCTAACAGTCATTTTACCAAACAGGGCCATTATGAAAAAAAGAAATATGACACACATGGAATTGATGAGTAAATAATTATCAGTTGGTCACAAAGTTACAAGTTTAACCTCTACCGAAAGCATTATATTGGCTTTTTTTTAGCTTGAACCAGTTAGCTATGTGCAATTTAGACTAATTCTTTTAATTATTAATTAAACATCTCTTTTGTGCTATCATTTACTGTTTCCATTCAATTCGAACTATCAATTCAAAAAATCTGAGTTTGTATGGATTTGGTTAATTAATAAGAAATATATAATGAAAAAACTAAAACCTTAGCTTGTAGAAGATTGAAATGATGCATATGAAAAGCTACGTGCCCCGCGGGGCTAGACGACTTGATCTAAAGTCACAATTCTACAATAGGATGAGACTTACATTTGAGACTGATTGAGAGGTTATTGACTCTTGATTTATCTCTTTCAATTTTTATTGGGTAAAGATACTTGAACCACTCATGATTTACCTCCTCCTCTTAACAACTTTTAGAAACGTTCATGATTTACCTTCTCCTCTAGCGGCTCTCAGGACACGGCGCCCATGCAGTACGTTACATACAGTAGAAGACAAGTCATCAATCCTATTGGTATCTTCTTCAATTCCAATCCATATATGCAGATAGATACGAATAGTGGACCATTGCATTATTGGGACTCAACTAAACTAGTTATAAATAGAAGCAACCACTCTATCATTTGCTTATTATAACAGAATTTCTATTCTAGCTTGCAAATTAAACATCAGAAAAGAGAGAGAAAGAAAAATGAAAAGAAGCCATAATGTGCTCTTTTCATTGCTCTACTTGGCCTTGTTATTTGGTATCGGTATCTCTTCTTCTATTTCTTCTAAGAAGCACCACCTTTGTGATCAAGGTGATTCCCTTCTGCTACTACAATTCATAAAACACTTTGAGATACACCAAACTGATCCACCCTTCTTGTGCAATGGATATTTATATTACAAGATGCTTGAAAGCATCCCTCCAATGAGTCCAACCCCTCCATCGATATCCCGTCGCTGCCATTATAATATTTATAATCGTGCGCTGCCATCCTTCTGCAAACATAGTTCTCGTCGAGTAACGAGAAAGGTGTTATCATGGGATGAGAGCTCTGACTGTTGCAAATGGGAAGGTGTTACCTGTGATACTTCCACTGGTCATGTTATTGGTTTGGATTTGTACTGCAAGGGGCTCAAAGGACCCATCCATCGTAATAGTACCCTTTTTCAACTTCAACACCTTCAGAAACTCAATCTTGCCTTCAATGATTTCAGCTTCAACCCTCTCCCAAATGAGATTGGTAGTTTGACTGGCTTGACTCACCTCAACCTTTCATATTCTTCGCTACCAGGGGGCATCCCATTTGAAATTTCGCATTTATCCAAGTTAGTTTCTCTTGATCTTTCTGCTAATTTTGATCGCAATGTTTCGAATTTACTATTTCTTCAAAACCTCACCAAGCTCGAGGTACTTTCTTTGTCTGGGAATGGTATCTTATGTACCATACCATGGAACATATCTGCTTCATTGCGATATCTAGATCTTTCAGAAAACAATATATTTGGCTCCATTCCAGATAGCACTTTCCAGTTATCTGCTTCATTACGATATCTAGATCTTTCAGAAAACAATATAGTTGGCTCCATTCCAGATAGCATTTTCCAGTTATCTGAATTAGAATCACTTGATCTAGGCATGAATGTAGATCTGGTGAGTTCATTGCCAAAGTTTAGCTGGAGAAGCAATCATACCCTGAAATTGTTAGATCTTAGATCAACGGGTATTTTTGGAGAGCTGCCAAATTCAATTGGCAATCTCAAGTCCTTAAACTATTTCTATCTCTCTGAGTGTAGGTTTTTTGGTGTTATTCCTGCTTCAATAGGCAACCTAACACACCTGAAAGTGTTGAGTTTAAATTTCAATGAATTCAATGGTAGTGTGCCATTCACAATCTCAAATTTGAACCAACTAACCACATTAGACCTTTCAAACAACCATTTTGAAGGAGAAATTCCAAATGCCTTTTCTAACCTACAAGGGGTTACATTTTTAGGTCTGTATGGGAACAATTTCACTGGGTTTTTTCCTTCTTCAATTGTCGACTTGTCTCTACTTGAAGATTTGGATTTACAAGGATATTCACTCATTGGATCCCTCCCATATGTAGCAAGTGGACTCCAAAATCTCCGGACACTATCCTTGTCTAGGAATGCACTCATTGGAAAAATACCACCCTGGATTTTTAGCATTCCTTCCTTAACCCATTTAGACCTCAGCCAAAATCAATTCATGGGGCAACTTCCCGAGATTTCAAGCAAATCCTTAAAATTTGCTACTTTGTCTCATAATCGGCTAGATGGCCAAATCCCTCCTACAATTTTTAATCTTGAAGGGCTTGATCTTTCTTTTAATCTTTTTTCATGGAGTAATGATGGGAGGATGATGGAAGTAAATATAAGTGATTTTCCAATTAGTCGCTTATGGTTATCCTCTTGTGAGATTAGAAAGTTTCCGGACTTCATAAGAAACTTAACATCCCTAGAGAGCCTAGATCTGTCAAGCAATAAATTGGAAGGACAAATTCCAAATTGGTTTGCATCTGTGTATTGGAGAAATATGTACTTTTTGGATCTTTCCCAAAACCATCTTATAGGTGGCATTAACCAATTGTGGATCCCATATTTAAGGTATCTAGATCTTCATTCCAATCAACTCCAAGGACCGTTAAACTTCAATATCTGCAACTCGAGCATGCTTCAATTTTTGAACTTAAGATACAATAAGTTCAATGGCACAATTCCAGATTGCTTGGGTGAACTTTATGATCTTTCTGTGTTGGACTTGGCAATGAACAACTTCAATGCCATTTCTCCAACCATGTTTGCAAAGAACAATACTTTAGCAATTATAGCTTTGAATGGGAATCAACTTCGAGGATCAATTCCAAGATCTTTGGTCAATTGCGCACAACTAGAGATCCTTGATTTTGGGAATAATAAGCTAAATGATACTTTTCCCAAGTGGCTTGGAGATCTTCAAGTGTTACAGGTCCTAATATTGAGTTCTAATAAACTATACGGACCCATAACCTTGTCAGATTCCAAGATTTGGTATCCCAAGCTACGGATCTTTGATCTTTCTTGTAATAGCTTTAGTGGTATCCTTCCAAAATATTTTTTCAATTTCTTCAAAGCTATGATCAATGTGGATGAAAGCGAAAAAGAACCCAGATATTTGGAGACAACAACGGGTGCATCTTATGACATTTCAATCAATTTAGTTATTAAAGGTCAAGATATTCAACTCAAAAGAGTATTGACCATTTTAACTACAATTGATTTATCAAGCAATCAAATTGAAGGGGAGATTTCGATGTTTATTGGAAATTTGAATTCATTACGGCTTCTCAACCTGTCACACAACTGCTTCAATGGAAGCATTCCACACCAATTAGGAGATATTAAGTTGCTTGAATCTTTAGACATCTCTTGGAACCAATTGACTGGGAAAATTCCAGAGCAACTCACAAACTTGACATTTCTTGAGGTCTTAAACTTATCACAAAATCATTTGGTTGGACCCATTCCTACAGGCAAACAATTCAATACTTTTGGAAATGACTCATATGGAGGAAACCTCAACTTATGTGGATTTCCATTGTCAAAGGGATGCAATGGCAACGGTAGATCACTTGTGCCCCGCCAATATGTTGAACAAGAAGAAAAGTCAAATTTCTTGAGTGGATTTACTTGGAAAGCCGTAGTGATTGGGTTTGGTTGTGGGCTAGTATTTGGAATCTTAATTGAAAATCTCATGTCTCGAATTGGAAAGCCAGAATGGTTTATTAATTTCTATGGAGGCAACAAACGCAGGAGGGTCTCAAGGCCAAGAAGATATGGTCGAAGATATTGAGGGTTTACAAAAGAATGAATTTTCCAGTTTTCACGTTCCATGAATAATGTGAGTTGTGTATGTTTTCTTGGTAGTTTGGATTCCCTTTTATGAGCTTATATGTGTATTCTTCACAATATTTTTCTATTGTTGTACTATTACGGTTATCATTGTATGTTTGTTTTTTGCTTAATAAAATTTTAAATTATTGTGTGGGGTTGCATTTGTCTTTAAAAACTTGCTGAATTCAATAACATTAACAGCACGTTTGGTTCACGGAATGAATTTTGAGGTAATAGGAATGCTATTCCATAAGGAATGGAATATGCAAGGAATAGAATAAGAATTGTATTCTATTGTTTGGTTCGCATAAGGAATAGACTTTAGGAATTATATTACAGTGTTTGGTTGATTTAAGGAATAGAAATGAAATATGTTTTAAAAGACATAAATACCCTTATAAAAATATGTGATGGTGGCGATGGCGGTGGTGGTGGTGGCGATGGTGGTGGCGGTGGTGGTGATGGTGGTGGTAACAGTGGTGGTGGTGGTGGTGGTGGGGATGGTGGTGGCGGTGGTGGTGGTGGCGATGGTGGTGGTGGTGGTGGCGATGGTGGTGGTGGTGCTGGGGTGGTAGTGGTGGTGCTGGGGTGGTAGTGGTGGTGGTGGCGGTGGCAGTGGTGGGGGCGGCGACGGTTGTGGCGATGGTGGTGGTGGTGGCGGCGGTGGCGATGGTGGTGGTGGTGGTGTTGGCGGCGGTGATGGTGCTGTGGTGGCAGTGGTGGTGGGGGCGGCGACGATTGTGGCGGTGGTGGTGGTAGTGGTGGTGATGGTGGTGGTGGCGGTGGTGGTGGTGGCGGCGGCGGCGGCGACGATGGTGGTGGCGGTGGCGGTGATGGTGGTGGTGGCGATGGTGGTGCTGGGGTGGTAGTGGTGGTGGTGGCGGTGGCAGTGGTGGGGGCGACGGTGGGGTGGGGGCGGCGACGGTTGTGGCGATGGTGGTGGTGGTGGCGGCGGCGGCGGCGGTGATGGTGGTGGTGGCGATGACGGTGGTGAAATAGGATAAATTTATATATAGGATAAAAAAATTAGGTTAAGAAAGGGGTAAAAAAGGAAATAGATTCTAAAATCTATTCCTGAGCGTTCAGTAATAGGCTAATACCAGGGGGGCCCTAGTAATAGCTATTACCAGGAATATTATTCCTGGTAATAAAAATGGTTACCAAACAAAGGAATAGGCCTATTACTGGGAATGCTATGCCATTCCCGGCCTATTCCGTGAACCAAACGGGTCATAAAATCAAGAGTTAAGACTTAAACAAAGATAGAAAAATGAAAGCTATATTATAATAAGTTTATTTGATCTAAACCCCATTTCAATTCCCAGGAAAAAAAAAAACAAAAATTAATTCTCTATTTTTTTTATTATTATAAGGAAGTTTATGAATAATATTTGTATAAATTTTGATAATGTTATTGTCTTATTATTGATGGAATTTAAATACTTAGATTCTTCAAAATTTGCCTTAGCTTGTAATCTTTGATTAGATAGTATATCTTGTAAAGGTAAAAAGAGTTCATCCTATTGTTTGTTCTATATTTATAGGTGTCATTTCATTTTTACTCATTTTTTCCGAACATTCTTTGTTTGTCTTATTAGTATTATTATGGATAACCATTTTTGGTTCTCCGTCAACAAACCTGTTTAAATAATGTTAAATACAAGGATATTTCGGTCTTTTTTTTTTATACAAAGTGAGTTGACCTGTTAAATTTTTTATTTTTATATTTTTTAAAAAATTCTTAATTCTCGGCTAGAGTCCCCTGTCTTCTTCAATTATAATTCGTGTCTCCGCAACCTGAGGCTCCACAACAATGGATAAATCTATGACCAAAAAATGAATTCACACTTAGAACTGAATAGATTGAAATGTCATTATGATCATGCCACAATAAATATAGGACTAATAAAATATCTTCTGAAAAAAAAAATTAAAAGTAGAATATCAGATATAAATATAAAACACAAATGGAATTAACTCATGCAAAAAAAAAAAAAAAAAAAAAAAAAAAAAAAAAAAAAAAAAAAAAAAAAAGAACTTAGTCTCTTTGGATCTCCAGGTTTAAAATCCCTTAGCTTTGTTGTAAATCCACTGCAAACCCATATCCAAGGCTTTGAGTTCTGCCTCCATAGCATTATTAGCTGTAAAGGAGAAGCTACATCCTTCAAGCCACCCACCATCTTTATCCCTGAGCAGTGCTCCGGACTCCTCCCACGGGTTTGCTTGCTCCTTTAAAGCATCCATCAATCCCTGCCAACTTAGTCTCATTTGAGCCGTGTAATTGGAAGATCTTAACTAGCCAGCCTTATAGTTAAAGACCTATAATCGCCATACTATACTATCAATAGACATCACTTGATAGATTTTTTTTATTAAGGATTTTCTTTTTGAACCTATGTCAATTAGAGACATTTATTTTACAAAAAGGAAATTGTTTTTATCCGTCAATATAATATGTACTTTTACAAACTAAATCCATTTTTGTGACAAAAACTCATTTTTATAAATTTGAATAACAAAATTAAGGGATTATGATCCTGTCCTATAGACAAAAACTAATTTGTGACTGTAGTTGTTTAATCAAACCATGCTTGATGCAAGGTGATTAATAAATTTTGTCATATTATGTGAGATTTTGACGAAAATTTGGGCCAAGTTGTAAAGACCTCAATTATTATGGTCCACACAAATTGTGTGGACCATATTTGTATATTATAAAATAATATACATTTAGTACACAAATAATATATTAAAAATGTACTTTGTATTCAAGAAAAGTATATCATTTGAATACTAAAGTACATTATTTTATATAACGTACATTTAGTACATTAAAAATGTATTTTCTTTTATGGTCCATATAAAACTATGTGGACCATGGTCCACACAATAATTTGCGGCACGTGCTCACTATGCACATGATGCACACGAATCTATATCCATAATTTCTATACTGTATATTCATAATTTCTATATTGTAGATCCATAAATTTCTAGACTCTCGTTGAGCTAAAATTATGAATCTAAAGTATAAATTTTAGCTCACCGAGAGTCTCAAAATTATAGATATACAGTATAGAAATTATAGATCTACAGTATAAAAATTATGGATATATTTGTGGTTAGAAATTATGAATCTAAAGTATAAATTTTAACTCACCGAGAGTCTCGAAATTATGGATATACAATATAAAAATTATGAATCTATAGTATAAAAATTATGGATATAGATTTGTGCGCACCATGCAAGGTGAGCACGTGCTCACAACATAACAATTGATAATTTGCCAAAAGACCTCTATAAAGTAATGGAAAAGTGTCAAATTAACCCCCTAAGTCGACCGGATAGTGCAATTAGGTCCCCTAACTAAAAAAAAAAAAAAGCTTCATTTAGATCCTCTAAACCTGTAAAATTGTTCAATTAAGTCCAAAGTGACTTGCTTAACAAGTTAATTCTGGTTAAAATATTTTTTATTTTTGTTTTTATTTATATATTAACATATATATTATATTGTTTAAAAACAAACATATATATTATATATATTAAAAAAAACAAAACAAAACAAAACAAACAAAACAAAACAAACAAAAAAAAAAAACACACACACACACACAGCCACATGCCGGCGTTCTTCTCCAGCACTTACGACGCCACCGATCACTAACCACCGCTACAGAGCTTCGTCGGAAGAAGCTGCTACGCTGGAAGGTACTGCAGGTCAACGAACGAGAGAGGAGTTCGCTGATCTGTTGCTGCTGGTGGCTCGCCGTTGTTGCTCAGCTGCCAGGGAAGGAGGTCTCTGGTGGGAGCTGTTGTTGCTAGTCGGAGAACCAGTCGCCATCTACGGCGGAGGAAGCTCGCCGGGGATTCGATCCATCCATCGCCACTTTCCACCAGAATTGGCCATTAACACCGGCGAGAGAAGAGGTCATTATACGCTAGAGAAGAACGCCAGCAGAGAAGTGTTGGGAAAATGTAAGTCAATGGATAATTTCTTTTTTTTTTGAAAGCGTCAATGGATAATTTATGTGGTTCTCAATAGCCTGGAATTCATCAATGGAGGAATCACAAAGCACTTGTGAACATACCCAAACATTTACTACTTTATCAGATTCTATGAAGCAGAGGGTGAGGGTGGAATGTTAGATACAAATAATCTAACTATACTGAACAATAATATACGAGAAATCTGACCTCGTATAAGAGTGGAAACGTAGCTATGTTTGATTGTCAGCCACAGTTGATGTTCCTTGTTGTGTTGCCTCTTAACGATAGACCGTTAGCCATGTTTTGCCTCAGACTAGACTTAGAACCCTAGATGGTGTATTGGTGTCTACTGAGCAGTATGAGTACCGTATCTGAATGTGCTAACATCAATCATCCTGTATCCCATCAATCCAGGATTATATTAGGCACAGAGTTTGATGGACTAACAACTTCTAGTTATTCAGTCCAGCCAGACCACTTAATAAGCCTAGTCCACTTGCACCACTTAATTAAGGCCCTAATATATAATGTATAATATATATTATTTGGAAAAATCTTACATTCTCCCACTTGGTGCAAGTACTAGCACAACCTTCATCAAAGAACAAAACACACGAATCATAGTGACATGTCCTCTATTTAATCAGAGTAATATCCATTATGGTCACATGCATTTTAATTCTCCAACTTAGGTCCTTAATGAACAAACCCTATGTTTATTCTTGGTACCTTAAGGGATGTTTCTCAAAATACATTATGTGCACAACTGAAAGAGAAAACACATCCAAATTGTACAAAAGAGTACACTGTATGATCTCTAAAACTTTATAAGCATGTCTTAAGTAGAGATCTCTTAATGTTAGCATAATGCTAACTATATTCTATGACTTATTTATAAGTGTTAACTTTAAGTACTATCTCTAACAGCTAAGAGCTTGGAGTTGAAACGTCTGTCACTCCCACTCATCAAA